CACACACACACACACACACACACACACACACACACACAATAAATAAATAAATAAATGTAAAAAAAAATTAAAAGAAATTAGATTTATTTACCAAATATTTGCTTAAAACATTTGAGTTGATTTCTATAATTTTGGAGATATTTGGAATATATAAAATGAACAAACATTCATTAGTCTCAGGCTACTATGAACAGAATTTATTTAAGAGATTTAATTTGACAACACCATACAAAAGGCAAAAAATGTCACATACACATAGCATGCATACATAGACAAAAACCAACTTATAAAACAAAATTCAGATCTTATAGCTTTCGTTTAACCATTTTAGGCTCTGTTTTAACAATGTACAGTCATGCAAAATTCATTGGTTGATTTGAAATAGTTCTCTCTTATCTTTATTCAGTTCTATACTTTTTTCAAAACCATATTTCTGACAAAAATGAGAGAAGTTGAGGAAATGAAATAATAACTATAGTTTATTAAAACCAGTATTTGATGAAAAGAATGTTAATTTCTTTTCTCTCCTGTACCCTTTTGGAGGTTGGCACAACAATTCAGGTAAATGTTGGAGCAGACACCAAGCAGTTGTCTGGCTGCTTCCAAAGCCCATGAGTGGACAAAATACAAAGCTGAAATTTACCTGCTTTCTCATTCATCTTTAGGTACATGCTGTGGTAGTCCCTGAGTCTGTTTTAAGCTCCTGGGGGGTGAAGGGTGCTAATATACCAAGGATGTTAGTGAGCCAGAGTGGGGGCACTAAGGTGAAGAAGGAAAACCTGGCAGAGCTGCAGAAGGGATGGGCAAGATGGACGTGATGAGCAGCATAGGAAGAGTTTAAGGAGATGGACAGAGAAACAGTAAAAATAATTAAATAGAAAGAGAGAGAGAGGCAGAAACAGTAGGGAGAATTACATAGAGTATTCATAGAAATATCAAGACTCATGCAGTCTTCAATTGTCAGTTTATTCTCCCAAGGGTGCCAGGAAGTAGGTAGTGGTCAGCTGTGGTGGAGCATATGGTCAGCAAAATATCAAGAGGAGAAGGCGGTGCACAGCCAAGAAGTCTCAGTGGGGAAAAACAGTGAAACAGAGAATGCGAAACATCCTCACAAGGATACAGAGAAAAATATTTCCAGTGTGGATGACAGGGAATGACCCTACACACACACACCAAAACAAGGAACCAGAAAAGACATTCAGCCCATGAGTTAGGGAATAACCCACCCAAGACAAGCAGCCAGGAGGAAAGTCTTCCAGGTCAGCCAGTGTGCTTTCCAGAGAAGGAAGCCTGGACCTCAAAATCAGTTTTGCCGTGCCTAGGTTTCTAGTACCGCTGCTACAATACAGGCAAAAACTAAAGCACAAAGCACTATCCTTACCACAGTTCCACTGAATGTTATCTAGACAGTGATTCTGGACTCTGACTCACCCATTCAACCCCAGTCAATCTGCACAAAGCAAATAAAAAGGTTTTAGAGGGTGACCACGTGGTCCGGATATATAGGCCTGCCACATTCAGAGAGTTATCTAAGTCTGAATCTTGGCTTGACAACTGGACAAGGAACAATTACCCTTGACATTTTTGAAAGGACATTAAGGAAGACTTTATTGATGAGATGCATACAATAAGCACAGAAGACTACTGCAGTGGGGGTTTTGTAGTAAGGGAGAAAATCAGCTTCAACTACAAATAAGTGAGAAATAGAAAGAATTTTTAGCCAAGGAGTAGATTTTTCAGGGGCAGTTGTTGTAAAGAAAATTAGGACTTTCATGGGTAAATAGGACGTTGGCTCAACTCATCTGGTAAGACTGCTGCAGAGATGAAGAACACTTTGAAGTACTGAGTGTAGCAAAATATAGAGGACTGTGGGTTTCTTTTTAAAAAATCACTTATCAGGTTTCCTACTATAATTACAGAATGGAGATTAGTGTGGAAGTCCAAAAACTGAGGTCTCCTTGAGAGGAGAATTTAAGAGACTGGGTAGAGTTTGGTTAAGAGAGAATCTTTCTCTTTAGGAAGAAGTCTTCCAGACTCCTAGAAGACAAGGACCTACATGTGTGACATTACTAGGAAGGTGATAGCCTAGAGGTCAAAGCACATGTATGGCAAGCACAAGGACCCGAGTTCATTCCACAGTAACTCATGCTACGGTGGCCCTGCCCTAGGTACAATGATTTGACCCTGAACCCAGGCATGGTGGAGCATATCTGTAATCCCAGCACAGGGGAGCTGATAGAGGAGAATCAATATGAGTCTGAGCTGCACAGCAAGACCCTGTACCAAATACATAAATTAAAAAAATAACATAACAATAAAATAAAGTAAAATTACACATGATAGAGGTTAGTACCAAGTAAAGAAAGTCCAAAAGCTGAGGTCTCTGTGAGAAGAGAATTCAAAGGAAACTGAATAGAGTTTGGTTAAGAAAGAACCTGTCAGGGCTGGGGAGATGGCTCAGTGGAATAAGTGCTTCCCTGGCAAGTGCAAGGGCCTGAGTTCAATCCCTGATTCCGAAAA